TTCAAAAAAGACAGAAAAACTTCTCAACTTTCAAATCAAAGACATGCAAATATAAATGATTTCTTAGGAAATCTAAAAATAAATAAGGGCAATTTTGTCCATTTTGGCTTCTTTTAAAAAATTTCTCTCTCCTTTTGCTTTTTCCAAAGTCAATGGTCTCAAAACTAAAGCAAATTGTATTGGTTCAGTTCGGCTTTGGTTCTCTGTAAACCGAAGAAAAAAAATTTATTCTTTGTTTTGTTTTTTTCTAAAATCACATGTCATCTCTTATTTTCGCCTATCTGCACGTTTGTGTTATGATAACACAAAAATTACATAGTCTTGACTTTTATTTGCATATTCTATATATATTAATTATAAATTATTCTCATATCTGGATGTTTGTATTTTATTATCGTGCATATATCACTGTAAATAGAAAGAGATAATAGAAAATATATAATATATGCACGATAATAACGTTTGAACATTCACATAAGAGAATTTCTGTCTGAAAACGTTTTGTCGTAATATAAAATAAAAATGATGTTAGTAGGTTCCAAAATTGTACAAACTAACTTTATAAAACAATGCAAAAGAAAGAAAGAATGTGAAACTTATTTCCGTTCACTTTTGAAAAAATTGGCTAAAAATATCTCTAGAAACAATTGATTGCGAAAGTGACACGTGACACAGGACATGACACACAAGATATGTGTGACACCATTTTCTTCAACCGTATCGCGTGATGATTTATGAGGGTAAAAAAGGTAAAACTCCACAAAAAAGGGGTAAAAATCAATGGAGATGGTCCACCACATGGCGTGACCGTGGATAAACGCGTTTTCAGACTTGGACTTTTGCAAAACCAAACAGAATCTCTCACAAATATAATTTGTGAAGCCCTACAGCCATTCATTCCCTTTCAGCCATAGTCGAAGCCGGTGGTAGGGCTGTGATCGCCTACAGTCAATCGGTCGTGGACCCTCTGACCTGCCTTAGCGTGGCCCCACCTATTGGCTCAAAAGTCCCACAAAGCTCACTTCCTAACCTACCCCTCGCCTATTTACGAGCACGTGAACCGCGTCGCCTCTGACGTCGGTCGTCTCATCACGCGGTGCATCAATCCAGTATCACCCGCCATGAAAATAGACCAAAATACCCTCCATTAAACCTCGCAAGAACAGAGGTCTTCAGGGTACTTTCATGACCTTTCACTTCACGTGGGCCCCAGCCCTGTCGACCTTATTGTTGCCTTGTGCGGCCCGGCAGTGTGACAGTTTTGTAACGATAGCGTTTCTCACGTGTGCTGCAACCGACTTAGACGCACACCAAAACCGTGTGCTGCTACTGTGCGTTTTGGGCTATTTATTATTTTACTGTTTCTATTTTTGTTTTTTCCAGCTAAAAACGAAAATAGAATACAATAACTAGAAAATATAACACAATCTTAACGGTAGCGTTTAACATTAAAATTGGGTTGGATTACAACATAAGCCAACATAGCTTTCAGCTCATCAATTGGTGCCCATCGTGTTCTTGCAACTTGCAACTGATACATTTATAGAAATATCCTATATAGTAACTATCCATAATTGGCCTTCTCCTTGTAGGTCACACATTGTTTTTTTGTTTTGACATTATGTATACTTTTCATAGAGAATTCATATAAATAGCCAAACATTTTTATTAATAAGTATTTAAAAACATATATATGTGTATATATATATATATATAAATGTTGCCTCTCACAAGCTGATGGATACAACTTATACACCAGAAAAACTTGTATAAAACGAGAATAGCAAAATAGTACTATCTCTGTTTCATATAAGTGTTCCTCTTCATACACAGACTACCTCTCGATTCCTGATAATGCCACGTGTTATTCGCAAGCTTCATCACAGTTTCTTAGTGTTAATTATTACTCGTTGTTCGATAATCTTTATACGTTTTTTGATAAACTGTCGATTGATCAAATCTAGCCACGTGTCCGAGGCCCACAAGCTTGTAGCCATGTGGCATGAGTATGATGTGTTTTGCGTGTCGGCGTTGTAGGGGGAGAGTGATGGATTCGCCCAAAATTTGTTAAAGGCGAGCTGACTCGTGGTATGCGTGAAAAATGAATGAATTGATATTCTTGTGAGATAAGGTAACCCTAGCGTTTGAAAGTGTGTAAAACGTATGAATTTAGCAATATCTAATTCCTCCTTTGTCAATATTACTTGTATTAACAATTTGACGCACCAAATTCTTATAAATATCTTAAGTTGTTAAATTATCAATTAAAATCATCATGATATAAGCATACATGTCAATGTTACGTACCTAATTAGTAATTTTTTTATCTAACCAAATTAAAACTTATGAATAATACATTTAAATATAATAAGGATAAGATAAGTGTAAACAATATTCAATTGCTTTCGGGCATGCCCCCATTATTCTTAGGATTATTGCTCAAGAAAGAAGGAAAAAAAAAAAAAAAAAAAAAACCTTTAGCTAAGAATCGCTTTCAACTTTCATGTGCCTTTGATTCTACTCAATTAAGGGCCACCATCCGCATTATCATGCCTCCTAATCCTACTTTTCATCTTCATTAAGCTTCTAACCTCAAACTTATCAAATTCTTTTGGGTTTTTCAGGATTGGTTTTAAAACATCATGATGCCCAATGATGAAACACAATCAAATGGAACACACCGTTGGATTGTGTTTCCTTCCGGGGTTCTTAAGGGAAATACCCATCCAATTCTTTTTTTCTATATATAAATTCAACCATTTCTAACCCAAATTTGAAATATGCTGTCATTTAAGATAATATTTGTCATAGTATTATCAATTAAATTACAATATGTGCCATTAACCTTCATTAATTCATTCTATTGGATATTGATGATTCCTTCCTTGTCGTAAATTTGTATTGATTCCATAAAAAGTAATAATAAAAATAATTGTTGTACTGATAAGGATTTTTATTATTATATATAAATGGCATGTGTATTATTTTTATAATGTACCTACAATGGTGCTCATTTCTAAATAAAAATAATTTACCTCTATGACATGTACCTACATAGTTACCTATTATCATTCATTGATAATGTCAATTTACCTATTATCTCTTATTGATAATAATTTACTTATTATCTTTTATTGATAATAGGTAAATTATTTTTATAAAATATTAGGTACATTATTTTTATAAAATATTAGGTATATTATTTTCAAAAATACGTTAAATAAGTTGGGTATATTATTTAAATCATAAGTAAATTTATAATCAAAACTTATACATAAAGAGTATTGAATTGTAGTTTTTTTTAAAAAATGTATTGAAATGCAGGCTAATTCGGTGAGAGAAAATAAAAACAATAAATTCAGGAACCAAGACTTAATACACCCATCACATAACACGTTAACTTGTAAATAAGGGTAGTTTTGGAATTCAAAAAATATAATAAATCATATTTAAGTTAGATTAAGTAACTTACTTAGTTGGATCATAGTCATCGAATTTTATTTGACAAAAACGGATATTTTAAATAAAAAAAATAAAAAAAATGAGTGCAAGTGATTGAAAATGAAATTTATAAGTCTAAACTCAATTTACTAATTAGTCTATGGTTGTTTATGTTTTTAGGGACCCACGCGGGTCAACCTCGTTTTACTTTTTTGGTGGATCCTACCAAGAACTATTAGGCACATGAATGAAGATAATTTAATGGCATCGGAGGAGACAACATAGTCATCGCTCACCACATTTATCTTTTTATCCTTTTCCTATTTTGTTCCCTTTTTAAAAAGTCACCCGCAAGTATGTGTATCAAAATTCACATAATTAATGGTTGAGTAGTCTAGTGAAAAAGAATTTTGATTCGGAGATCTATTTTAATTTCCATAGTTTAATCATTCGGTTAATTTATTTATTTTGATAAGGTAGACATGTCTTTGTTAAATTAACGAGCTTCAATCTTCTTGAAATATGTGATAGTATATTAAACTCACACACATTATACAGATGTTACGACTCGAGCCAATAACCTTTCCTAAATGAGCAATCACTCAAAACCACTACACTAGTGGATTCTTTATTGATTATTTTACATGATGCTATGTCTAAATCTTATTTGAAAAAAGTATAAAAGGAAACGAGCACAAATCTCAAAAGATGGAGCATTAAAGCAATTTCCTTAACAAAGGTACCATATAATCTATCATGTTCCTAAACCAAAGGTAAAGGAATGTAACGTAATGGTCTTCTTCTTTTGACTCAGTGACCAAGGGTGACTAGTTTGTAATCTTTTATGCTAAACCTATTGGTAAATATACCTAAAACACGATTAAGCTCAACTTGCAAGAGTGTTAAGCTCAAACGACTTAGTTCGAACCAAGTCTATTTTATAGATATTGTTTGTTTGTCGGTATAAGGAATTTATCATGAGACAATGATGTCATTACAAGAATAACAAATATAAAATAAGTAAGTTGAATGTTCTTAGTTTCATACTTTGATTTATCTCATATATATATATATATATATATATATATGTAGTTTGTTTGTGATTATACGAGAATTTCATGACACTAGATCATGAGTCAAAAATGCTAATAGTGAAACAAATACGTAAAAAGTTCTAAAGGTGTAAATTAAAATGTTCATTTGAATTTATCTGATACATATAACTTGTTGGTAATTGCATGTATAATAAATTTTATAATAGTATATCATGGGCTAACAGTGTCAATAATAAACCAACAGTTTTGTTCATGAGTTTACTTCCCGCGTTTATTTTGCCGGTGATTACACGTATACGATAGTTTTACATTTTTTTAAATTAAAAAAAAAAAACACGATCAAGCCCCAAAAAATAAAGAAACTAATGTCAGTCGCAGGTTATAATTTACCTAAAAAAGAAAAGTCAATAAATCCCATGAGATAATTATTTAAAAAGTTCGTAGCTTTAAGGCTTTCTCTCAGGTGCCTTCCCCTCATTTGGCAAAACACACACCCACACAGAATCTTTGCCGACTACTTCTCCTCAACCCCAAACCAAACCAACCTGAGGACTTTAACCACGGTTCAGAATTAACCCTAAATCAGAGTTTAAGCTTTTTAACCAGAGTACATTCATGCAGTTAGGATTTAGGAGAGCCCAACAAGAAGAACGAACACAGACAAAACCCAGTTCCTCTAACCTCCATACTTTTGCTTTAAACAAAACAAAGGCCAAAGCTTTTTATGGTTTTTTTTTTCCTGGGCTCTCATTATTGCTCGTGAAATAACTGGTTGTTTGTTTTCCGGGAAAAAGAAGTCTGTCCCTCAGTTGAAACTCTCACTTTCCCGGGAATGGTTCCAGTGCCAAAGAAGGACTCTTCTTGCTTTGCTGCCTTATCCAATCAATTCCTCATGATCCCATTTTGCATGCCGAAACTGGTGTGTATAGTTTTCTCTTGACCCTTGTGTTTTCTGGATTTATTTTGTTTCTGGGTTTTCTTTGTGGCTTGAAATTATGGTTCTTTGAGATCTGAAATTGTAGCCATGTTGGGTGTATTTGATTTGGTTGAATGTATAAAGTTTCAGATATTTGGGGCTGAGATTTGATGTGGGTATTGAAATTTCAAGTTTGATATTTGTTGGGTAATTGATTTTCTGGATTTTATAGATGAAGATTGAGATGGGTTTAGGAGGTGGGGTTTGGAATGATGGAGATAAGGCTATGGTTGCTGCAGTTTTAGGCACTCGAGCTTTCGATTACTTGATATCGAGCTCGGTTTCTTCGAACGAGAATTCGTGCATGGGTATAGGGACTGATGAAAATTTGCACAACAAGCTCTCGGATCTTGTGGAGCCTCCGAATGTTTCAAATTTTAGCTGGAATTATGCAATTTTCTGGCAAATTTCAAGGTCCAAGTCTGGTGATTGGGCTTTGTGTTGGGGGGATGGTTCTTGTAGAGAGCCTAAGGAGGGTGAAGAGTCTGAAGCCACAAGAAATCTCAATCTTAGGCTTGAGGACGAGACCCAGCAGACGATGAGGAAGATAGTGCTTCAGAAGTTGCACACTTTGTTTGGGAGCTCAGATGAGTATAATGGTGCTCTTGGATTAGACCGGGTCACTGATACAGAGATGTTCTTGCTTGCTTCTATGTATTTTTCGTTTCCAAGAGGAGAAGGGGGCCCTGGCAAGTGCTTTGCGTCCGGGAAGCATGTCTGGCTCTCGGACTTGTTGAAATTGGAGTCAGATTATTGTGTTCGATCGTTTCTTGCTAAGTCTGCTGGAGTTCAGACAATTGTTTTAGTCCCAACAGATGTGGGTGTCGTTGAATTGGGTTCAGTGAGATGTGTAGGGGAGAGTTTAGAGTTGTTGCAATCCATAAGGTCACTGTTTTCGACTCAGTCCTCGCTCATGAGGTCTAAGCCCCTGACAGGGTTCCCGGTGATGGGAAAGAGGAGAGATGAAAATGCCCAGCTAACTAATTTGAGCCCTGTGGAGAGAGGGGAAGGAGTTCCCAAAATTTTTGGGCAAGATTTGAACTCAGGGAACTCAGGCCGGCCTCGTTATAGAGAGAAACTTGCCGTTAGAAAGGTGGAGGAGAGGCCGTGGGATGTGTACTCTAATGGGAACAGGATTGCATTTTCAAGTCCTCGAAATGGTATTCAAGGTTCAAGTTGGCCTCATATTCATGATGCGAAACAGGGGAGCCCAACTGAGATGTATGCTTCTCAAAGTCCTGTGAATAATATACAGGAGCTTGTTAATGGGGCCAGGGATGATTTTCGTCTTAACCATTATCAACCACAGAAGCAGGTACCCATACAAATTGACTTTTCAGGGGCCACTTCAAGGCCTTCTGTGGTTGCCCGACCTGTTGGTGCTGATTCTGAGAACTCAGATGCCGAAGCTCCATGCAAGGAAGGGCAGGAAGCCTGCAAATGGAAGAGAAGAACCCCTCAATCATGTGGAGGCAGAGAGGCAGCGGCGTGAGAAGCTGAACCAGCGGTTTTATGCTTTACGAGCTGTTGTACCCAACATATCCAAGATGGACAAAGCATCCTTGTTGGGAGATGCCATTGCTTACATCAATGAGCTCCAGGCGAAACTTAAGGTGATGGAAGCAGATAGGGAGAACCTCGGGGGCACTTCAAGAGATGCGTCAGCTTTGGGGGCAAATCCAGGTATCAGTATGGAAAACCAGAGCCAGGCAACTGATGTTGATATTCAAGCTGTGCATGATGAGGTTGTTGTAAGGGTGAGCTGCCCTTTGGATTCCCACCCTGCATCAAGAGTCATCCAAGCATTCAAAGAGGCACAAATCACCGTTGTCGAGTCAAAACTTGCCGCAGCAAACGATACTGTGTTTCATACGTTTGTCATAAAATCTCAGGGATCCGAGCCGTTGACGAAGGAAAAGTTGATTGCAGCATTTTCCCGGGAATCCAACTCCTTGCAGTCATTGTCATCTGTTGGGTAGCAGGAGAATTGCAATTAACATAGTCCATAGGTATAGTAAGTGAAGAACCCATTTAAAAGTTTCTTCAGAGGTTTTGATATACAGCCAGGGATCCTGAAAAGGAATAGCATTGCTAGCTAGAAGTAGAAAAAATAACTACCTAATGACCAAGTAGGGGAGCAAAATTTCTATGATTGTTTATAGCATACATATTCTGTCCTAAGTATTCTTGCAAGGTCGATTACATTTGTAAGTTTAACCGACTCTAAAATTGTTGGTTATCAAGAAGCTCATAGATTTGTTTTGTTTTTTAAATGCTAGTTTCGTTGTTTTTCTTTTTTGTTATCTGCTCCTCGTATGAATCTTACCATAATTTTTTTATATATCATAATGACTCTTATTTCTACTGGATACCACTGTTATATAAATGTGCTGGATTCTTCTTCTGTCCTCTCACGTAAGTTTCCTTTATGACTGCATTCAACTTGGACAAATTCTGAAAATTGGCCTCTATTTGTTCCTTCGACTTACCTTGAATTGAGTGAGTTATCCAATTCAATCGAGTTTGAGTCACCGAAAGTGACCCAAAGGATTAAAAGAAGTCACATATGGGTTGTACATTTAAATTCGATTGTCTTGTTTAGGCATTTCACCCTCTCTTTCATTTTTTCCTTTCTGAATTGTGAATTTGTATGATGGGGCAATTTTGTTCCCAAATCAAGGTAAATTTGTTCTTCTCTAAGATTGTTGGAAGGAAAGCCTTCTGCACCGAGAAACACTAATGAAACCTATTTTCAAGTTGATCTCTCAACGGAAAGAAAGAAACATGTTCCAAATAATTTCCCTTGACATTAACAACAGCTCTGAAAACATTGTGGTCTATGGCAAGCAGCAGAGGTGGACTTTTGGTAACATCTCCCTGTCTGCCTCAAAACTTTTGGTAACATATGTTTCATATTGGTGACACATATGTTTCATATTTCTTTCATAAAAATGAGATATAAGTTTTTGTGGTCAGCATGCTTTTCACGAGGGCAGCTAGTATTCTATAGACTGTTAGGAGATGTTGACAGCAAAACTAATTTTTGTATATGTCTTCTGTTTGGTCGCGGTTGAAATGGTAAACTTGGTTTGCTATTTGGTTCTGAAGCAATCTGAAAAGATCTTCTCTCTAACATTCTCTATTTTCTGCTTGACATGTGTCATTCTCCTTATACTTAAAACAATGTCATTACTGTATTATATAAGCTAACTTTTGTTTTCCAAGTTTACCCTTATTAAATGTATTCAATTAATGTACAAAAATTTCACAACTTTCTTACCATCTTATTAAATTTTTTTTAACATAAATTATTTTTTTAAAAGAAAATGTCTGCTTTAAAAAGAAAAAGAAAAAGAGGAAATGTCCTTTTTAAAAAATTATTTTTTAAAAAAGTCTAAATTTGACGTTAAAAAAAAGGGACATTTTCTTAAATAAATAAAATTAACGTTAAAAAAAAATAATAAGATTGTAAGAAAGTTGTGAATTTTTTTTGAATAAATTGAATACATTTAATAAGGGTAAAATTGAAAAGCAAAAGTTAGTTTGTATAATATATTAATGACATTGTTTTAAGTGTAAATATAATGACACATATCAAGCCAAAAAAGGAAAAGATTCAAAAGAGAAAATTAGTAAGAAGGTTGCCAGCATTTCCCATTTGAAAATACTTTGCTGCATAAAACAACAAAACCAAGAACCTTCTCAAATTCAACTCTCTCTCTCTCTCTCTCTCTCTCTCTCTCTCTCTCGTCTTAGCAGACAAAAGAGCTTTGCATAGATGCACATGAGAAAGGAGCAAGGAATAGATCCTGTTGTCAAATTCTAGGCCATCCCTTTTAATATTTCTCCTTTCTATAAAGGACTTGTTGAGGTATCTCTCTAAATTAACCTTGCCAGAAAAGAATTTGAGAAAAGAAAAAAAAAGACGCAAACAAACTGAACCCATGGTTCCCAGAGATCAGCATATACAATAAACAAACAATGATCAAGAATAAAGTAAGAATATATAAACCGTGTGGTCCTCTTGTAGTGACAGAAACCATGTTCTCCATGTGTGCTCGCAAAAAAAGGGCCAAGGATTATGAAAAGTTAAAGGCAAAAAAGAAAAATAATATATATGACCAAACATATGTGGTTCATATTTTGCTAAAGAACAAAGCCAAGAAGCGCGCCTGTCCAATCTGCGTAGACTTATTTAGGTTCCAGTCTTTCCTGCTTGTGGAATTAAATGCCTCTCTTCATTTGCTTGGACTTTTGGAACAATTTGGTGCAAGTCGACAGATTAGATTGCAGCCCAAAACACAAACACACGCATGCCCACATTTGTGCTTTCTGTGCCTAATCTTTTCAGGTTTGGTATATATAAATATATATGCCTAAATGGGGAAGGCTGATTACAAGTCAATGTGGGGTTTAGGGTTTGCTTTTGTGCCCACATCTCTTTGCATATTTAGAAATTGTGGTAGTTAAGTCCATTTAATGTTGATGTTTTATCAACGGAAAAAATAAAAGAAAAAAGTGGGCTTAGCCAAGTTAGTTAGAGTGAATGTGCTTCCTGTTTTAAACTCGAATTCAAATCACCGTCCCCGTAGTTTAGATTAAATTAAAGTAGAATATCACTTTATGAAAAAAGAAGAAGAAGAGAGAAATAGAGTTTTTCCATTCCATGGATATGTGGCCTAAATGGACTGTGGACCAGTGACTAGTTGAGAAGAAAAACTTATGTTTTATTTTATGTTATCAAGAATGCGTAGCTTGAATTCAATAGTCAAAATGCATGCCTACCACTAGTCCACATGCATATTGGTTGCAAAGAAAAGTAAAGTCTAAGAAAAAGGGATTTCCAAAGATTTCTGAGAAGATGAAGAATTTGACTGATTTCGTGCAGATTTTTTTAGCAGCTGAAAATGATATTGGTTGAAAAGAAAAAAAAGTTTAGTAAGAAGGGCTTTCCTAAGATTTCTGAGAAGATGAAGAGTTTGACTGATTTCATGCAGACTTTTCGCAACTAAAATGGTACTTGGCAAACAAGTTTCAGGCTTTCAGTCAATTCCAATGCAATAGAAATACAAACATCAGCTAGCTTAGCGTGTTTGAATATTGTTTCCACAGTCCGAAGAATAAAATTCATTATCCTGAGCTCTCAAAAAGGAATCATTATCGTGTAAGTTTTTTTTTATTAATTAATTATTTTTCCTTCAAATATCTTATATATAACTTGTCAACACAAGATTGAATTTAAAATTGAAATTGAGTTTGCATACGGAGTCCAACTTAGTGGAAAATAGCTTTAATTTGTAGATCAGTAATTTCAAGTTCGAACCTCCAAAGTATCTTGGTGTGGAAAACTCCCATTCCCCTTGTACTTTAAAACTATCACGTGTACATGACAAGTTTGGGTGACATTCTTGGGCTTAAAAGGCATAAACCCTTTAAGCTTTGGGCCAACCAAGGTCCATATCCTACATAGATTTGGGCCATTTGCCCCCATAGCAGAAATGGTAGTTTTGCTTCCAAGAGAATTATATAATATGACAATATAGGTTGGCATTGGCTAGATCGGATGTGCTTAAAAGGCGCTGAAAATGTGACACAATTAAACCTATATAGTTGTGCTTTTACTTGTTTCTCTTTCTAGAATTGCATTATTCACTTCAAACTCAAGTTTAGTTATGGCTCTTAAACCGAAATTCAAGAACAAATGAACTCCAAATCTTAAGGTTTAATATCATAATTCTACATTCTAAAAACAACCCTAAATTTTAAGCTAATTCTCCTAAACCATACGGAATCTTAACATTAATAAACTCCAATAATCACTTTGGAAAAGAAAAACTCCAATGCCCACTTGTAAACGTAATAAAAAGTTTAAGAATTTAAAAATTAAATCCCGATGAATTGGACTTTTTCTACTTAGGATTGCTAACAATTTAGCCAAACTCATTTGATACAAATATATTTGCGGGAAGAAGTACGAATTTGACGTTGTACTTCAAATTGACATGCATTTCATTTGATGGCCGATATTCAGAAACAGAAATGCCAAGAAAGTTCCAGTTACAGAAAACCTACGAAACTGCCGCTGTGTTTTGAACTATCCGACAGCTCCACAGAGCAAAATTAGAGACCGAAACAAAGAGCTGCTGAGTCAACTTCTTCGCAGCCATGTCTAGACCAAACCACCAGCACCACCAGGTTACTTCTCTGCCCATTTTGTTTCTTTCCTCTTACTTTCCATTTCTTCATCACTGCTTTCCTTTTTTAAGCTTCTTGTTACAGCACAAGGTCTCATTTTCTTTTCTCTAATTTCTTTGCTTGAACCCCCACTTTCAATTTGTACTATGAATTGAAGTCACCCTTTTTTTTTTTTTTTTTTTTGGATTCTCTAAGTACCCAGAATGTTTAATTGTTCTTTCTTGCTGTTATTGGGCTCATAGTTGAAAAACCTTCTGGGATTGTGTAAGATTGCTCCATGTGGTTGTGATGAAGTCTTAATTGATTGGTTAACTATTTTTCAGACAATGCTGAGTTAATTTTTTTAGTTGGTATGCAAAACCTAGATAAAGACTTGGAATGTTATTAACAGAGAGAGATATATGCTGGATATGGGTTTTGTTAATTTTTTTTCTAAATAATTGTAACGTTGGTGAGCAAAGAGAAGTTGAGTGTGGTGTGAGAATGGGGTAATGTAATGTGAATTTTCGATATGTGAAGTTGTGTACTTTCATTTGTAAATTTGTCATACTGTCCCTCCAGTTTGTGTTGTCATTTTATATGCCAAGTAATTGCTGCAAACTGCTGCCATATGTTGAACCAACAACAACCATTTTCTTACTAGCTCATTTTAACATTCTTCAGATTAATCTAGAAATCAAGCGGCATGAAGATAATATTAAATTTCTGCAGAGTGAGATAAACCGCTTGAGTGAATCTATACTTGATTTGCAAGGTATCTTCGTATCTTCTATATATTTTCTTCTCTCTTCCTTTCCTCTCTCCTTCTAGGTATCCATACGAATCACAGTTAAAAGCATGATGCTTTTTTATACGAATGTAATAAACTTGGTTATTCATTTCTTTTGATCTAAAAGTTCAACTCGCATTGAATAAGTTCCACCTCTACTTCAGTATTAACTAGCTGGACATCATTGTGATATTCAAAATTCTTCTGCTTCTTTTTGTCTAGTGAGTCTTGGAAAGCATCTCCCAGCCAATGGAACTGGAACAACAAATGAAAGTGGCGCTACTCTTGCTGAGAAGGATGAAACAGAACAGATATTGCGGCATGAGAAATCTGCAGCTAGTTTATTGTGCAGGCTGGAGCTGTTGAAATCTCATCACGCGACTCAGGCTTTGAATTTGGCTCTGACAAAGGATGTTCTGGGTATTGTTGGCATTGTTGCCACCCTTGGCAGAGTCCATGATGACAATCTTAGCAGGTCTGTTTTTCTTGACGTCCATCTCTTTCTCGTGATATCCCATATGAAAGAGAGTTTTTTGGCTGGATGAAGTCAAAATTTCTTCAGATCATATTTCTTGATTGGTTTTATTGATCATCCAGATGATAGAGTTCATGATAAGGGCTATTAGGTTGCTTCCTTGAGTTTCTTCCTGCTACTGCTCAAACTTACTGTGACTCATATAATTTCTGATAACAAAAATAATCCATCAGTTTTGTTTAGACCAGACAAATAATTTGCCCAACTTGTATGTAGGATTCATATGTGGTCTTTCAAAAATTTATGATCTGCTATTCTGATTAATCTATGTCCCAGTTCAGCATTTCCAACAAAGTACAGATAGAAAGACCACAATATTATAAATAAATAAATAAACTTATTATTTCGTTTGTTGCTCTTGATTAAGTTACGTAATAAGTATAAAAATATAGAAGAAAGATCACTGTCTATCACAAACACTATTTCTTTCTTTTACAAAGTTGCCTGACCTGCTGCTTTCCTGTAACTTTGAACTAGGCTTCTCTCAGAATACTTGGGACTGGAAACGATGCTAGCAATTGTATGCAAGACGTATGAAGGTGTTAAGGTTCTAGAGAAGTATGATGCGGATGGCACAATAATCAGCACTGCCGGTATACATGGGCTAGGATCTTCTATTGGGAAGAGCATAAAAGGGCGGTTTCTTGTTATATGTCTTGAAGATTTAAGGCAAGAAACCTGTCCCCTTTTTCTCTCAAGTTGTTATTGCTTATACAATTTCTAACTGTTGTTTGTTTTTAGCCCATATGTTGGGGGATTTGTAGCTGATGACCCACAAAGGAAGCTTTCTCTTCCAAAACCAAAACTACCAAATGGGGAGTGTCCGCCTGGCTTTCTTGATTATGCAGTGAACACAATCAATTTGGATGACAAAAACTTGGATTGTCTCACCAGCGGTGGGCATGGTCTCAGAGAGACACTATTCTATAGCCTCTTTTCTTGCCTCCAAATATATAGAACCAGAGCGGAGATGCGTCTTGCTCTGCCATGCATAAATGATGGAGCACTGTCTTTAGATGGCGGGGTTATTAAAAAGAGTGGCGTGTTCATCCTGGGAAGCAGGTTAGTTTGGAACTAAATAAAACTATCGAAAACCTTGTTTATTGCTATGTTTTTTTTTTCTTCTTATAGAAGTGTTATCTACTCTCAGGAAAGATATAGAGGTCAAATTTCCTGCAACCTCTGGAGAATCTAGTATGCCTGCAAAATACCTTGAAATTGAGGATATGATCAAGAAGCTGAAATGGGAGCGATCTCATGTTACTGAGGATATGCAAAGAGAACAAGAATTGTTGGACTTCGCTAAGGCAAACTTCACCAGACAAGTGTGATTCTGTGGGTTTTCCTTTTAGCGGGTACTGGCCTAAGGATCTCTTGAAGACTGTAAGCACTGATTCAAACAACCTCTATCTTTGCAAATTTAATCAGAAAACTGTAGCGTTTGAATGAAACTCAAAGGATCAGATTCTAATTTCATTATGCTTAAAATTTCAAGTCAATATCTGAGCTTCTATGCTTCATATTTTGGCATTTTGTTTCGGCAATTCCTCCATATTATTTTAAAGGACATTTCTGTTAAGGTCATGAAAGATTGTTGCCCCTCCATATTGTTAGTAATTCAAGATGTTGGATGCTTATCAACTGTCCATGTATAAACCATCATGATTGGTGTCCTGAAGCTCTTGCTATTCTAGACAATATTTGAATATTACTAACACTCCCTTGTGTTGGCTATAACTCCCTTGTGTTGGCTATAACAGAAGCATGCAGGCCAAGATGGAGGCATCAGCAGATTGCTTGGATTTTTTTTTCCATCTCTAAGTTATTGCTTCATGTGCCGTCTTTGTATCAAATTGTAAAAGCAGCAAAATGTATTGATTCTCTCCTTCTGTTGTTTTTTGGTTGGTTGGCTTTAGCTACAACCTGTACATCCTCAAGCCAAGTTGGTTTGTAACTTTAAAAATTGTGGATTCCTTTTCTTTAGCATGAACGATATAAACATAAAGGAACGACATTTCCCCCCTTATTGGATGTGTATCAAACCCTGTTATATTTATTGTCCCATTTTTAATCTTTTGACACTCCAGTTTTTTACTTTTTACTTTTCCCTTCAATATACTCTCCATAGTCAACATGTTGCCGTAACTTTCACGTGTTAATTATGTATCACTTATATATCCAACTTCTTCAAATTGATTTCTATGGAACACAACTGCAAAAGAGAAGCAATAGATGTCTGCTTATAAGTATATTGGAGAGCAACTGTAGACATTCTTTGTATGCAAAACTTCACAACATCAGACCTAAACGAATCTCATGTACCAAAAACCAACATACGCTTTTCGGAAAGAATGGTATGCATTTACAATAAATTTAAAAAGAAAAACTTATGGTACAAAACTACAGATCAGTTTCAAAACCCTGCTTCACAAGAAAACGTGCAAACCCCACATTTATCCTCTAATGCAGACTATCACCTGACACCAATTTCACCTGAACATATGCCCGGTGCCTGGCTTTGGAACAATATCACACATTCCCTTTGTACTTGCTAACTCTGTAAGTTAAAAATGCTGTTAGTGCAAATGAGATGGGAGGGAAGCTGTATGGAATTTAGCTATTCCGCTGCCCTCTCAGACATGTTGACCTCCATACTTGTAGGCATTGATCCATTTCCCTCATGGTCCTTATCATTACCTTCCTTGTCATCCTTCCTGTTACGATAACGACAATGTTGAGAGATGTGCCCCTTCTTGCCACAAACTTGGCAAATAACTTTGCCATTTGTCTCCAATTCTTGCCTCTTCCATTGCATACTTCGCGGCTTCATATCTCTTTGCCTTGGTGCATACTTCCTTGCTAGATCACCTACTAGGTTAAAAGGTGCTCCCTGGTTCTCCCTAATACGCATCTCTTCTTCGACCCTCAAACGTTCCATCAACATTGCAAAAGGCAGATGCTCCTCACGCATCAACTTAATGCACACATCCTTCCAAGACGGGGGGAGTTTGGAGATGATGACACTGACATGAAATTTTTCCTCAATCATCATTCCAGAACCTACAATGGAATCAGCAAGCCTATTAAAATTTTCAACTTGCTCCACAATTGATTTCCCCTCGAGCATCACAAATTCGATGTACTTTTTAACACGAGTTCTATCTGTTCCAAATTGCTCAAAAAGATATATTAGCTTTAGATCTTCCCACAGCTCTTTAGCAGTCATGGTTTTCTTTGAGTAAAGATAAAACAGATCATCAGATAGAGCGTTTAAGATGCCACGACGACACACGGAATCATCATTCACCCATTTCCGGTCAGCAGCCTTTGAATGAGCAATTTCTTCACTACTTGCTTCCGGGCCAAGCATACTGCTTGGGCATGGCTCAAAGAGCACATATGCAATCTTTAATTGCTTCAACTGAAGCTCCATCTGTTCCACCCAGAATGGGTAGTTTTTCCCATCAAAACGGCTAGTCTCAATGGTGACAAGTTGTTGAGGAGCAATACCATTTAATGAATTAGACATGTCTTCAGTTTGCACACCGTCTCCAGTTTGCTTACCATCTTCAGTTTGCTTACCATTTTCAGTTCGTTTACTGTCAAGTTCAGATCTGCATTATAATTAATTAAAGTCAGTCAATAGTTCAACTACCTGCTTTTCAGCAACGAAAGAGTTATCAAGGAGAAGCCTCCGAATCGACTTGCTCAAGATGAAGGTGAATACGATCAGAAATCTAAAAAAAGGGATTTAAGAGTCCAGATCAGCACTCAAACAAATTATCAACAGTTTACTCTCACCTTATCTTTGATTCCATCTTTTTAACGGCTTCCTCTATTGCAGGGACACTCTTTTTGAACGCTGCCCATTGTTCAGTTGGCAAGCTAATTCCTGAAAGCATAACATCAATACAAATCACTATTAAAACAAAAGCGTTGAATATACAGAAAGACACAGGGCAATGGACTGCAATATAGAACTAAGTATATGATTATGCAAGCAATACATATTGTTAGGACTATAATCAACACAGTAAATAAAACAAATTATTTCTCATCAATACAGAAAGACACAGGGCAATGGACTGCAATATAGAACTAAGTATATGATTATGCGACCAATAAAAAAAATATAAAGCAGTTTCTCAGATATGGGGTCACCTTTGGCAGTAGGAAGTTGCTTTCCATCTTTTTGATAAAATTCTCTGAAGGACACGTAAGTTTTCTCTTTGAAATCGTTAATCACCACAGTTTTCCTGTTAGATAGCTAATGAAACAAAAAAACTTCAGATCAGAAATCCAAACACAGTCTCACAGATACATAGACACACACAATATGATCAAAGTGCGAGAAAACAAAAGGTTCTGAATTTCTCAATTTCGAGCAATGATTGTGTTCTTATTAAATCCCAGTTTCTCTTGGTTATTTGCCTGCATTTGTCATCAACCAACTAGAATCTAGTGTTGTTTTAAATACATGCAAACTTTTTCAAAAAATGATACAAATAAACAGAAGAAAAAAAACACTAAATTTCAATTCTTTATTCACATTTGAGTGTCAACAACATTTTTGTAAATACTCAAACCAACTAAGCCCAATAGTTGTATTTGCTTCACTTTATTAAACGCTAACCTGAAAGTTAAAACTGATGAAACCAATTATTAAAGAATTCAACTTTACTTTCTGAGCAGCCAAACACAGAGATTAGGGTTTTACCTTGCAAATAACACGGTGTCCATCCTCATACACCTCCTTCTTCGACCTCGTGCCCTGCTCTTCTTGCACATTCGTCTCCATGAGCTCCTCCCGAGCGTTCACCTCGGTCTCCGGAGCCGAAAGCAGGAACCTTTCGATCACGCTTCTCACGAAGCTCTTGTGTTCTGTATCAGAGAAATCGATTCCGAGTTGCTCCGAGGTTACCTCTCGGACTTTGAACTCAGTCATCTCCTCCAAGTTGGTTTTTCTCAATATGTCCAAAACCGTATCCTCGATTTTCCGTCGACTTTCAGAGTCCATTTTCTGACTAATTTTATCGGAAGATTATGAATTTCTTAGAAAACGTTAAGAACGGGTTTTGATTTTGTGAGGTTAAATTGGGGGGAGAGTTCAGACTCCGAGAAACGGCTTCGAGCGATTAAGGAGGCACAAACATTTGTTTTTTTTTCTTTCTCTTTTTGGGTGGTGGGTGTAAAAATATGAGATTATTGTCACAGTAATCATAGTACTTACAATTTCTAAATTTTTATCTTTCTTTTTACAAGAGCTTATGCATGAGAAATTTTTTGGAGTCACAATGACAACTTTGAATTTTTTTTTTCTTTAACTTTTAAAACTATAATAACGGTTGAGAATGTCACGTGATGTTATAAGTTCATTTAAGTTAACTTAAATTCGAATTGCGCATGCATGTATTAAATGAGTTTGTTCCGTATACAAGATAATTTTTTTTTTCTTCCAAAACACACTCTCGTAGTCTTAATCTAACAGACTCGTCCCATCTTATTTAATAGGGGGTTTCACTAAAACATCCAAAATGGGGGTTGAAATTATAAAAAAACCCAAGCACTATTTAAACATATAAACACACCCAAAACCCATCATTACACACACTCAAAACTCATTTATAAACACACCCAAAAAGTTGACTTTGGAGTTGATTTTGGGTGTGTTTTTATGTTTAAATAGTGCTTGGGTTTTTTTATAAATACATGTCTAAGATTGGGTTTATTTATAAATTTGTATATTTAATAATAGGACATTTTATATGTACTGTATTATTTTCGCTCTATACCCTAACACGACTTTTATTTATTTATTTACAAAATCAGAAAATAAAACAATTTGAAAACCTTGGCTCCTCTTCCACTATCCTCATTGGCAACTCTCCCTTTACTCAACTCCTCCCTCTTTTTGGAATCCCTTTTTTTCTCTCTACGAAGAGAGACTAGAAGTAGGAGCGCGGAGGGAGGAGAAAGGCGGGAAGGCCACCGACAATATGGGGCTGCTTTGTATTTCTTATATAGAAAAAGGAAATTAAATGAGATCGATAAAAAAATGTAGGCCGAGTATGGAAAGCATCCAAAAAATGTTACAAAAAGAAATAACAAATGAGCTACCAAATTAGCCCTAGGTCTTCACCTAATTTAAAGGCTCATATTCTTGGTACTCTTTTTCTACCTTTATTCTAATACATTAGCAAAACATGCAAAACTCATTTCTTTGTTCTTGGTAAATATTCTAGTCACCAAATGTTTGAATAACATGCCAATATCACTTATAACCAACAATACATGCATATAAAGAGCATGGTTTGACCCAAAAATGTTGTTGGCCAATCTTGTTCCTTCCCATTGATTGAGTTTATAAACAGATTCATGAGCCCAAGCTTTTCCTTCCTCGTACAATTTTATACATGGATTTAGACACCTCTCGTATAACTCTCATTTTTGCAGCCATCATTGCCTGCATCATTTACCGAAGGCTGAAATGCAGATCTTCACCCAAACCCGAAAAGCTTCCTCCGGGCCCACCAAGATGGCCCATCTTGGGCAACCTGCTTCAGCTCGGCCCACTACCACATAGGGACCTAGCCTCTCTATGTGACAAATATGGGCCTCTGGTCTACCTGAAACTTGGTAGCGTTGACGCCATCACGACCAATGACCCAGATATCATCCGGGAAATACTTCTCAAACAAGATGAGGTTTTTGCATCCAGACCAAGAACTCTTGCTGCTGTTCATTTGGCCTATGGGTGTGGTGACGTGGCACTTGCTCCATTCGGGCCGCGGTGGAAGCGAATGAGGAGGATATGCATGGAGCACTTGCTGACAACGAAGCGGCTCGACTCTTTCGCACGGCATCGGGCAGAAGAGGCCCAACACCTTGTTCTCGATGTTTGGGCCATGGCCCAGACGGGGAAGGCTGTGAACTTGAGGGACGTGTTGGGTGGGTTTTCTATGAACAATGTGACTAGGATGCTACTTGGGAAGCAGTATTTTGGGGCTGGGTCGGCAGGCCCACAAGAGGCCATGGAGTTCATGCACATAACCCATGAGTTGTTTTGGTTGTTGGGGTTGATATATTTGGGTGATTACTTGCCAATTTGGAGGTGGGTGGATCCTTATGGGTGTGAGAAGAAAATGAGGGAAGTGGAGAAAAGAGTGGATGATTTTCACACCAACATTATTGAAGAACATAGGAGGAGGGCAAGGGAGGAGAAGGGAAAAAAAACTAGAGGGGAGGATGGAGGAGAAATGGACTTCGTTGATGTTTTGTTGTCTTTGCCAGGTGAGGATGGGAAAGAACACATGGATGATGTGGAAATCAAAGCTCTAATTCAGGTAATATTTTTCCAATAATATTAGAAGGACTTTGCTAATGTCAGTTCCATGCGCTTGAGGGTGAATTCTGATCGTTGATGAAATGTGATTCTCATATCGATCAATGGTCAGAAATTGCCTAAATACACGTGAATGTATATTTTGTTTTAATTATCAGATATTTAATTAAAAATTTATTATGAATTTCTTCAGGATATGATAGCTGCTGCCACAGACACTTCAGCTGTGACCAACGAATGGGCAATGGCTGAGGTGATCAAGCATCCACGCGTACTTCGTAAGATCCAAGAAGAGCTCGATTCCGTCGTCGGTCCGAACAGAATGGTCAACGAATCAGACCTAGCCCACCTTAACTACCTACGATGCGTTGTACGCGAAACCTTTCGCATGCACCCAGCTGGACCCTTCCTCATCCCGCACGAATCACTTCGTGCCACGTGGATCAACGGTTATTACATTCCAGCCAAGACACGTGTCTTCATCAATACTCATGGACTAGGCCGAAACACCAAGATATGGGACAATGTGGAGGAGTTTAGACCCGAGAGGCATTGGCTTGCTGATGGGAGCCGAGTTGAGATTAGCCATGGAGCCGATTTCAAGATCTTGCCATTCAGTGCTGGAAAGAGGAAGTGTCCCGGCGCGCCACTTGGAGTGACTCTGGTTTTGATGGCATTGGCTCGGCTTTTTCATGGTTTTGATTGGGCCCCACCAGATGGGTTGAGGCCTCAAGATATTGATACCAAAGAGGTTTATGGGATGACTATGCCAAAGGGCCAACCTTTGATGGCCATCGCTAAGCCTCGCTTGCCTAACCATATGTACCATTAGGGTTGTGGAAGATTTTCAATTCTCCCATGTAGTACGAAATTTACAAATTTAGTTCGCAAAATAAATACCCTTTGCCTTTAATAAAGAAATAAAAACCATTTAAAAATCAAGATAATTTCTTCTAGTATTTACTTGTACTACAACAAATTCTTTAAACTTTGCTCTCGATTTTAGTATAATCTGTGGACAGATCTTTGACATGAGACAACAGTTTGATGCGAGCTAAACCAGATTAGAATGTAGATTTGGTTGTATGGTAGTTATCTTTTTTTTTTGGTCAAGGTAATTCATTCCATTAAGACGAAGGGTATTACACAGTCAGAATGGTAGTCACCTTTGCCAGCATGAACTTGACTACCACTGATTTGACGAAATGCTCAATTGACACAAAAAAGACAGCCCTCTTACATTATGAACCCCCACACTTGTCTTGTTTGATAGCTACTGAAAGTAAACAAAAAACTGTAATTTTCTACCATTCAAATATAAAATTCTCAGCTTTTTGCCTGCAATTTTTTCATCAACCAAAAAAAGTCTGTATCTTTCTGAAAAAGGCGAACAAGCAACCCTAAATTTGGATTCTTTATAAGTAACATGGATTAAAGAAACCATTATTATAGAATTCAATTTCCCTTCCGTTTCCTACACTTTCTAAGCAAACAAACATAGAAATTAGGGTTTGGTTTTCACCTCGTAAACAAAACGGTCTTCTCCAACCTCATCCACCTCCTTCTTCAACCCCATCGACCATTCATATTTCTCTCCTCAAGCTCTTCTGAATCGCTCAGGCCATGTTTGAAACTCTTCTTCTCCATATCTACCAAAACGATATAATAAGTTGCTCCTATGATCAGCATGCATCCATTTTTCAAAAGCAGCCTCTGATCTTGGGCATGGCTCGGACAGCAGATGCTCCATCTGAAAAATGCTTTAGTATAGACTGCATCTGTTCTGCCCAGAGAAGGTGGTTCTTCCCATCAAAACGAGCAATCTCAAAGGCAGCCTTTGATTGACGAATGCTTGGACATGGCTCAAAAAGCACATATTCTAACTCAGTTCCCTTAGCGTAGACACCATCTGTTCTGCCCAAGAATGATAATCCTTCCCATCGAAACGTTTGGAATCGAGGAGATTAGATTTCTGAAGAGCAAGAGCACTGCATAGGTATCAAAACGTGTTATTTTTCATGTTTCTCTCTCTCTCTCTCGCTCTCTCTCTCTCTCTCTCTCTCTAGATTAAAAAAGAATTATGAAATCATCCAAATGAAAATTATTTAAGAAAAAAATAACACGTGTTACACTTACGCGTGACCAGCGAAACAAGACGTTATAAATAATGTACACTTATCGAAATGAAAATTGATAAAATAATATGAATATAAATATAAGGCATCCAAATATCCAATTCCTATTCGCATTTCCTACCTAACCGCGGAAATCAGATAGTCGATACACTTTGCATTTCGTAACTTTCCATAGCTATCAGAGCCGTTGATTTCCGAACACGATCTGTCCTTCGACGATGGAATCGAAGGCAGATGATCGCCGGTGCAAGCGCAACGATGGTCAAAAGTGGCGGTGCAGGGAAACGGCGTCGTCGGGGAAGTCGTACTGTGAAAAGCACTTGGCGCAGCTCAAGAGTAAGACTAAGAATAAGAACATTCAGAGAGAAAGATCCAACGGAGACAGCGATACCGATAATCCTATGAAGAACTGTGAAAATCACTCGGCGCAGCTCAAGAATAAGACTAGGAATAAGAAAATTCAGAGAGAAAGATCAGACGGAGACAGCGGTTCCGATAATCCTGTGAAGAATTGCAAATTAAAGGAGGTGAAATATCCAAAATTTGATTTTTTTTTTTTCTCAATTATTTTTTGTGCTGCTCTAAGTTATCTGAGAAATGAACGAAAATGAAAATTTTGGGTTTTTTACGAAAAGCCTTACAAGAAGACGGAGCAGCGTGTGAGCTTGATGTGCCACCAGTGTCAGCGGAACGACAAGAGTGGCGTTGTCCACTGTTCTAATTGTAAGATAAAGCGATTTTGCTTCGAGTGCATTGAAAGATGGTAAGTAAGAACTAAGATGGTTGACAATTTTAATTTGAGTGAGCTAATTTTGTATTTGCATTTATACCCAGTTTTAAAATTAGTTCTGTAAATATTTGCTCGAGTTTGGTTGAAAATTTTAATTTGAGTGAGCTCATTGTGTTTGCATTATTTGCATTTGTCCATAATTGCAAGCCTTTGTTATCTTTTGATGTATTGGTTTCGAATGATAAGGCTTTTCATTAGTTTTTGCATTGTTCAATATTGAGATAGGTACCCTGGGAAGACAAGAGAGGAAATAGCGAAGAATTGCCCATTTTGCTGTCGCAACTGCAACTGCAAAGATTGCTTGCGCCAGTTTATTAAGAAAGTGGGTTCTCTTTCCTGCAGTTTCTCTGCACTTTAATATGAAACTACCAAGTTTTGAGTCTAATCTCTCTCTCTCTCCCCCTCCCCTATGGTTTTGTTTGTTTCGACAGCCTTGCAACATAAAAGTTGAGCCCAGTGTCAAATTACAGCGGCTGAAGTACTTGCTATATAAAGCTTTACCTGTTCTGAGGCATATTCATACTGAGCAGAGCTTTGAACTAGAGATTGAAGCCAAAATACGAGGTGACCTTTTTATGATTCTAGTAAATGTAGTTTTTACTTCCTTGGTTGAGGATTGTTGTTTATCTCATTTTGTGTTTTGTTTTTTTGGTAGGTGCTCAGTTGAGTGAAATGGACATAACGAGAACTAAAATAGATCAAAGTGAACGTATGTATTGGTAAGTCCAGGCTCCCTGACAATTAAACTGTGAAATGCATTTCGTTTAGCATCTTTTATCGAATATCTTTTGTCATTGTGTCTCTAGTGAATCTACAAGAATTTGTGCTTAGTTTAAATTCCTGTCATTCAAGGTTTAGATACTACAATGAAATGTTTTTAAGGACTAGAGAGGTCTTAGGTGTCAAGAAATGATTTTTTTGAGGCACCAAACTGTCTATGGTTCTTCTTCAAAGCTGAAGCAAAATCCATAAACATCATTTGAATTGATAAGAAAATGGTGGTCCTAGCTAAGTAATATTTTTGGTATGGTGTTTCCGATATCCCTGCCTGTTATCAATAAGAGGAATAGTAAATTGTTAGAGTTCTTTCACTAGACACATAGGAGGTTTAAAGTTGTGGCTGGACTCCCATATATTACATGCATATCTTGACACTCTTTTCTTAATTAATGTCATATTTCATATTCTTATTTATATGCAGTCCATAGATCGTGCACATTTTTTAGCAGAAAACGTTTGTTTTTGTGTTTATATTTATGGAACCTTCACGTATTGTCATAACAATGCATGCGTTCTTGTATGACAGCGACAATTGCTATACTTCTATTGTTGATTTCCACAGAAGCTGCCCCAACCTCCATTGTTCCTACGATCTCTGTCTTACTTGTTGCCAAGAGCTAAGGAAAGGCTGCCAACCTGGAGGTAGTGAAGCAGAAACATCTCACCAACAATCAGTGGAAAGAGCTCAGAAACAAGTGACTAAAAGCGAGGACAATACTAATTTGAAAAGGAAAAGACATGGCTGGGAGAGCCAAATTACCCTTGCTGCTGATGATTCTAAAACTGATGTGACTCTTTCTTTTCCTAACTGGAGAGCTAATCCTGATGGGAGCATTCCATGTCCTCCAAAAGAATGTGGAGGTTGTGGCAAGGTAAAGCTGGAATTGAGGCGCAAATGTAAAGCTAATTGGGTAACAAAGCTGTTAAAAAGTGCAGAGGATGTTACTAGTGACTTCAAGAAGCAAGATGTCGATATGTCTCAACAATGCTCCTGGTGCCAGCCGAATGATTCCGAGGAAAATAATAACCTACAGTCTGAAGTGAGGCAGGCAGCAGTCAGGAAAAACTGTGATGATAACTTCTTATACTGTCCAAGTGCTGTTGACATTGCAGATGATGAAATTGAGCATTTTCAGAGGCATTGGATGAATGGGGAACCTGTGATAGTCAGAAATGTTCTTGACAAGACATCTGGTCTTAGTTGGGAACCTATGGTCATGTGGAGGGCTTTTAGAGAAACGGGTGCCAAGGTAAAGTTTAAAGAGGAGACACGAAGTGTGAAGGCCATTGACTGCTGGGATTGGTGTGAGGTAGCTATAAAAAACTAGCTAAATTACTAATAGATAATGAGAAGAGTTTTAAAACATCTGCTGCTACGAGAATTGAAATTCTTGACATTTCACTTTCATGTAGGTTGAAATTAATATTCACCAATTTTTCACGGGCTACTTAGAGGGTCGTGTACATAAAAGTGGGTGGCCAGAGATGTTGAAATTGAAGGATTGGCCCTCATCAACTTTATTTGAGGAGCGACTGCCAAGGCATTGTGCTGAATTTATCGCAGCACTCCCCTACAGTGACTATACTGATCCAAAAGATTCAGGCATAGGTTGTCTCAATCTTGCTACAAAACTTCCTGTTGATTCATTGAAACCTGATATGGGACCGAAAACATACATTGCCTATGGATTTTCTGAAGAGCTTGGTAGAGGCGATTCAGTAACAAAGTTACACTGTGATATGTCTGATGCGGTAATGTTTTCTCACTACAATGTTTTTTTGTTAGGTCGTAAATGCCTGCTTAAGCTTGGGAGAGTTTGGTTTGGCCATTTTGTTTTTTTATTATCCTTTTCTTGATGTGTCCTTAGTGATCATGTTATCCAAATACCAAATTTGATTTTGTTTTTTTTTTCAGCTGTTATCATGCACGAAGTTGGGTTATTTAAAAGATAAATTTTTAGTGGATGAGAATGACAGTTTCCCTCCCATACATCAGTCGTGGAAGTTAGAAGGTCATCAACCTTTGGGTTTAGCAGTTAGTCTATCTTAAGACTATGGTTACTTTCTCTGTCGGCTCCCACCACCGTGTTTCCAACTACACTGGATATAGCTTGCTTTCTTTCATTAGAAGTTCTTCTGGTTTTCTTCTTACGATCTTTACTTTGACCTCATGGTTGATTTCTTTGAGTCAACAATACTTCAATCATTCTTTATGAATCTTCCTTATGAAGATATTGGTTATTGCTTTTCTGCTATGATTGGGCTCTTAAGGACACAAACTCATGTCCACCCAAGTTGTACGCTGCTTTGGATGCTTAAAATTAACCTACGTTCATTTGTGTTGAAAAAGTGCCAAATTATCAAGGTGTGGACTGTTTACACATGGTCATCATTTCCATAATTATCTCAATAGCCATGGTTCTTTTATAAGTGAAGATCAGTTCAAGTGAAGATACTTCTGGCAGTTTACATGTCAGACATTCCATGTCCATGTGCTCAAATCGTAGCTTTTGTGGCAATTCTGGCTTAATTCTCATGCTAGCTTCATCTACCTATGTGATATCAAGGCTATGTTCCATGTCATTGAACTTTCACCCGAATAATATTAATATTAATATATATTTTTTCTCTTTCTTTCCTTTTTCATCTCATCATGCCTGAACAATTTACACTTATGGCACACTGACTACACTATAAATGCTAACTGAATTGAAACTTGGAGGTGGGATTGGTTAATGGAAGTTCTTTGAGATCTTGTACAAATTTATGTGACTTGAATATTGACTTATATGTTCTGTGGTTATTGAATTTATAATTGTACTTCAAATGTCATTTAATATGGGCTAACAGTTTTTTTTACACCGCTTCTAAATTTTATTTTATTCTATTTATACCTTCAATATAGTTATTTAAACAGGGTTTAACCAACAGTTATTTGATTTGGGATTAGGTAAACGTTCTGACTCACACAACAAGAGTGAAGATCGCTCCTTGGCAGCAGAAAAAAATAGAAGGTTTGCGGAGCAAGCATGAAGCTGAAGACTTGTGTGAACTCTACAATGAAAGAGATGACGACAATGGGAGAGTTAGAGGAAAATCATTGAAGAAAACTCACAAACTGCAGATCATGAGTGCTGATTCTGTGGAATGTACTAAAAATGAGAACATTGTGGAGAGTGACCATCTAATGCCAAAACAGGAACAGTTGTCAGATTCCATGGATCTAGGTGGTATTGTCAGACATGAAGAAACAGAGTATGTTTCGGAATCTCCTGATACTCCAAGTCTTGATCATCAGAGGAGTGAACGGATACAATCCACCTTGCCTCATACAAATGAGGTTGAAGCAGAGCAAGAACATGTTCAATGTTCCAGCGACATGATGATTGGGAGGCTTGGTGGGAAAGATGCTTCAGGGTTTTGTTTCTCAGGCAATAATACAGTTGATGATATAAAAAAGTCAAACGTGAGGCAAACAAAGGATTCTCTTGAAAGTAATGATGGGTTAGACGCTGCCCATGGCGGTGCTGTTTGGGACATCTTTCGCAACCAGGATGTTCCCAAGTTAATAAAGTACTTGGATAAACACAAGAAAGAGTTTCGCCACATTAATAATCATCCTGTAGATTCTGTAAGTTTCAAGGCTAGTATTTGTCACTATGCTATATGTACGTTGTACAAGATGGTTCCTGAGCATGTGTAATGCGTTTTGTCTTAGGTTGTTCATCCTATTCATGATCAGACTCTTTACTTGAATGAGAGACATAAGAAACAACTAAAGGAGGAGTTCAGTAAGAATCTTATCTAGTTTTTACTTCAATTAATTTTGATAAGTTGCAATCTTCAACTGCAATATAATTGATGCGTGATTTTAAATGCAGATGTGGAGCCTTGGACATTTACGCAATACCTTGGTGAGGCAGTTTTTATTCCCGCAGGATGTCCTCATCAAGTGAGAAATACACAAGTAAATACTAATTATACATTTTGAACAAATTATTCAATTTTTGAAGTTATACCTTTCTGTTCTACACTGTATTAAATTTTTTTTTGGCTTTCTTCTAGACTTCAATGATATGGTTAAGTTCCTCTCTTATTAGTTTTCCCTCATTTGAATTTATTTTTATTTGATTCCTCTCAGTCTTGCATAAAGGTAGCACTTGATTTTGTATCTCCTGAGAGTCTTGAAGAATGTCTTCGATTGACTGAAGAGTTCCGTTTGCTCCCAAAAAACCATAGAGCCAAGGAAGACAAATTGGAGGTATCAATTTATTTTCATGTCTTTCACTACATCATAAACATTGATTTTTCACATCTCAAGTATTCTACATTTACTTATTGTAATAGAATACTGTTAAGAAGGCTGCCCAAATGCAATTGACCATTTGTCTCTTCTTACTATGGTTTCATGGTGATTAACAGACGTAATCCAAAATTTTAAAGTTCATGTATTTGTTTTTAATAGTAAATGGAGAAGTTTGGGTTTTGATGTAACTTTTGAAATTTCAAATATGCCCTTTATTAAAATAAAATTGTAAAAAAAAAAGTAATTCTTATTTAAGAAGGGAAAAACAGTAAACTAATTTAATTAGATTAAAATTACTGCTGCTTTTTTGTTTCCGCTAAATTTCATTTGTTCTTTAATACACAGTATAAAAAACCACTTGGCATGCATTGAAGCAAGCATGTGTCAAGAGGCTAGTAACTATGTGATTAAAGGGATTTTGGTATTGATGTTGACTAGATTTTAGTTTAATTAGTTGACACTGTAAATTGTCCACTGGTTACTTAACTCATAATTAGTAGTAGATTTTAGGCATCAATATGCATTAAGAAAATGCACCTTAACTACACCATGAGTCCATGACTACCTTATGTACCTCTTAGGTTATGTTGGTTTCTCTTTCCTTGTTTAACAGGTGAAAAAGATGACACTTTATGCTGTAAGTTCAGCTCTAAGAGAAGCCGAAAGTTTGATGTCAAAGCTCGAGTAAGGTTCATTTTCTTTTCTTTGCTTTATACGTGCTGCTATGATTTGAATTGTAGTCAGCATCTTATCTCTCTTTATTAAGGTGCGAGTGTGACATGTGAGCTGACAGAACCGCCTGTTAATTCACCTATATCTTCTTTGGTTGAGAAAATGTTACATTCACACCTATGCTATGTGATTGTGTGTTGAGCGCGCACGCGCACACACACACGCACAAAGAACACTTTCTTGCATTTTAACATATATGCTAGTCTCAGGAAAGAAAAAAAAATAAAGGAAATAGTTATCCTATGATTACTGTCGAGAGCAGGAAAATAATATTAACCTGTCCTGTGTACTAATAGGATGCCCTAATGCGTTACAAAATTTTACTTTAGCCAATGATTATTGCTTGACCTAGCTTCTTAACTACCAATCTCTCCACTCTCGTTTCTACTGTATTGGAAAGTATTATTTGTTGAATGTCATTGTAAACCTTCGTTTGGTATGTATTTTCTTCCTCTTCCATATCAATACCCTTTTTTCCCGAGAGGGAAAATCGAGACCAATGACCTATTTATTTCTCAGCCTTTATTCTCTTTTACGACCACCTGTGCTAAGACCTCTGGCTTGATTACTTTATATGGCTTGGTACTGTTGCTGCATTATTGATGGTCTTTTTTATATAGAGAGAGATGGTGAACCATTTGATTGACCGAAAAAGGTCAATACCATATAAGTTTCAGGTTTCCTAGAAATAAACTATTAACTTTGTTCTTTTGGTATAAAGTGATAAGAATTGAAGATGCGAGCTTGCGCTTGACAGTATGAGATATACCATTCCACTAGATAATGGCCCCTCAGCAACAGATGAAAGAACCAAACTATGGGATCACCATCTTTCTGACTAAAGGATGCACGTCCATGAATAAATTCTCTTACATTTTGATTTATCTCCATCTCCTTAAGGAGATATGTGATCATTTTATTATGTTCCTCAAAATCAAAGGAAGTGGTTACTTTGAGTAAAATGGAATCTAAAGAACCATGTGAAGTTAGAAGATATATCAAGAGGGAAGAAGCTGGTGGGTACAAGCATATCATAGGTAATGCAGAAAATTAGATGATTTATTAGGTGGATACAGGCAGCCCTTCTTATTGACTTACAAGGTAGATCATGGAGCAGGATGATATTAGGCTAGATTAGTAGTTGTAGGTGTTTCACATATTAGTCAGATTAAGGGCCTGGTTGGGGTAACTTCTGGGTGTCCAAAAGCACTTTTGTGGAGTTCTTTAGTTGTACTATGTGAAGGGCTTTCATGCTACAATTAAAGTTTATAAAAAAGGATATCTTGAAGAGGGTAAAGTTTGAGGCAAAACCAAAGTCCAAAAAGAAAACTTATGTTCCAAGTACTTATGGTTTGTTTTGCATACCTGTGACAAGGATCAATTAGGAAATGCTTTTGTATGAAGCGCTCTTACTCAATAAAGCTTTTGTTAGTAGCGGTTTTATTAGAAGAAAATGAAAAATTTTCTTGTAAAATTCAAGTCTTCCTGCATATTCACTTGGAAGGGCTTCCTTGGATAGGTACATATCTAGGGACCTCTACAAGGGCTTCTGTGATTCCCAAGAGCACCTTTTGTCTATTTCCACTATAGAAAGTACTTTTGGCCAAAACCCAAAAGCAATGTGGAACAAGCTCCGAGTCTTTTCCAGGGAAGCACAAATTTTTAGCTTTTGGAGAACATAAAAAATCTTTTAGCTGTGTGAATGAATTTAGAGGTGTTTTTCTTTCCTAGTAATCTAGTAGTTTTATGTCTATAATTTTAATTAAAGTGAGTTAGGCTCTGTATTAAGGGATAGTCCCTCCATTTGAAATTCAAATAGGGTTAGAATCTAGAGGGATGTATAAATTACTGGATTTATCAATCAAATATTGGCTCCAAGAAGTTAAATGGTATTTTTTAAAGTATATGTCATTTATTTGAAAGGTGGGTCATACCATGTCAGCATGATGACATCATTTTACACTTCTTTTGTCACTGATACAAGCAATATTGGGGAAGGGGGAATCGAACCTAGGACTTCGGGTGCAGGGTTAAATGCTCTTAACCACTTGAGCTACAAGCCCTTTGCATTGAACACTATTTTTTAAAATTATATATATAATAATGAACACATTGGCATTGTTTGAAGACCTCGGTCAAGTTATCTAGTGGTTCAACCAAGCAAGTTTTCTTACAACTGCTCCGACCCCAACACTCAAGACTCCACGAAGCCACAAGTGTCCCTACGTGTTCATAAGGTGTGGCTTGGATTGTGTCTCGTTCATTATCACAAAGTATAGAGTTTCTTCTTATGTATAACGTAGCATTCCCTTGTTGATGCATACTTTTGTGCAGCCACAGTCTTTCTTTGAGAAGGAGAACGTTATACTTGTTTCATAATCTTGATCCACATTCTCATTTGAGATGTCATATGGTCTCAACCCATTCTTGGTTCATTCCCAACTTTGGCGCTTGGATGAGGAAGTTTAAGAGTGATTTTTAAAATGATGGATTTTTAAGTACGAAACATAAAATTTATTTTGATGGATGTATCAAACTATAAATGATTGCAAACGTGGGTTAGACCAATTGGTCAAGGCAATGTGTCCGCCCTCTTGTACTGGAGTTTGATACCCCTCCCTGTATTATAGCGGGTGTGGTGCTAATGATAAGGGTGGTGGCAATGATGGTGGAGGTAAGTGGTGGTGGTGATTATGGTTATATTGTTTTTCTTCACAAAACTGAATTGTCTTGAGGTTTTGGAAATGACACCTCTTCACGTGGATTTAAACATGGGATTTATGACTAAATTCCAAGTTTTTTTGAACCGCGTAGAAGTTATACATTTCCTTGATTATACATAAGGAAATTAGCCTATGTCGTTTTAGAAGTTCTGGGTTTTGTTCAAATTCTATGTTTTACTTTCTCCATCCAAAAACATTGTAACATCTTAAATTTTTCAGACTTAGTCGTTTAATATAATACCGGAGCTCTGACTGCAAGAGGTTCTGGGTTCGAAATCTCCAAACGAAATCTCTCACTTATTTGTTAATTTGCAAGGTGGAGGATGAGGTTGTACATTTATGTTTCTCTATGCCTGCATTTTTTCGACGTGTTTACACGTTGTAGGATGGAGCTGCACGTAAGAGACTATGTGAATGAGGGCATTGGTTTTGCATACATTGTTGGCCCACTCCCCACTCCCTAACAGTTTAAGCTTTTGGGGTTTAGTGGTTGCCCAACATACTAGTAGCCAGACAATTGTTTGGTTATGCTGTGTGCCTATTGAAGTCAATCTTGAAGGAGTTGCAGCTTTGTGGAGACTTCATTGACAATGTTGGAGCTGCTCCATGAACAACCTTGGTTGTGAAGCCCCCAACAATCAATGAAGACAAGAAAAGTTGTTTTCAATAGCAAAAGTGGAAAGTATCAGCAGTAGATATGAATGGGAGCATATGGTGGCAATCAAACAGAAATACAATGAAAACGTTGTATGGCAAGCGTGCTGATAACTTCCCCCGTGTAAGTATAATCAGTTTTAGTACCTAGATTTTGGTTATATAATCTTCAATGTGCATAATTTCATAAGAATTTAATAAATCATTCAGTGTTGAATCGAAATGATCTCCTGAAAAACTCATGTACCTAAGGTTCTGTGTTTGAATATGACATACTAAATTCCTACACACTACACAGATGCTAGGACTTGAACCCAAACCTTGCCTGGGGGAGCAATTAGTCCAAGCCACTACGCTAGTGAGTCCTTTGTAAACTATATCATCTTTTAACTGGACTGATTTGTTGTGACTGCTACGTGGCAAGGAACAGTCGACACAAGTTTCTTCTCGATGGGGGGATAATGTACACATATCACATTAATTTGTTGACTAACAGTAGCTCGACTCTTAATTGTGCTCTCATTGCATAGCCTATTTTGATTTGACAAATAGTTTTTAATATCTTAAAAGATGTATGTTCTTTTCTTTTGAACTTTTTTTTTTTTTCCAGGCACTAACGAATGGTATGGTTTTTCTTGTAGTACATCCAACCCATTGAAAATTGAAGAGGAGTAACCAGTTGGGCAAGAACTACAAAGCTTCTAATCTACTTTTGTCTGA